AATATGACAAATCATAGCCATCAGAATGTAAACCTACCCATGTCAGAATTTATAAATGAAATTTAGCAGTAATTCTGACTTTGTGATAATGCTTTCATAGTAAGCCCCATGAAGAACGTAGCTATCTGCTGAAGCCCATAGCCACTGAGTTGTCTATTCCACTGGTTTATGCTGGTTCTTTGTTTCTATAAATTATAAAATAAAACAAACTAAGAAGAAAAAGACTTCCTTCCCACAGATGTGGAGGAGTTAATTTTTATACCAATCTACAACCCTCTATTACAAAATTACTTGCTTTTTTTTTTTTTTAAAGATTTTATTTATTTATTCATGAGAGACAGAGAGAGAGAGAGAGAGAGGCAGAGGGAGAAGCAGGCTCCCAAGGAGCAGGGAGCCCGATGCGGGACTCGATCCCAGGACCCTGGGATCATGACCTGAGCTGAAGGCAGACGCTTAACCATCTGAGCCACCCAGGCGCCCCAAAATTACTTGCTTCTAAAACAATCACTCCCTGGAGATAATGGGGTGAAGCTCACCGACATCTGTAAGCCAAGTGTTCAGTGATACATGAGGATGCATATTCATTGTAAAGCAACAATTCCAGAACACGCATGGAGCTGAGTCCTTTAAAACAGGTATTATCTCAAGTACGCCTAAAGGGTAGAACAATATGCCAACCCAAATATGTCACTTTGGCATAAGGATTAAATTGAGTTGCAGGTAACTGAGAAGAAGCAGGTAAGAGAAAAGCTCTCTGCAAACTACCCCCCGCCCCATTTACTTAATCTGTAAAAGTGTCTTCCCTGCCCCTCTACCAGGAAGGACAGAAATAATCACCAGAGACTACTCTAGATCCTTACCAACATGGAGATTGCACCAGATAAATGAATCTACATAACAAACCTTACTAAGCAGCCCTATCTACTATTAGTTTCTCCACACATTTGCCTTCCCATGATTTGCCACCTCTAGAAGCTCAAAGTCAAAGTCTTTTTCCTTTGTCTTGTCTCTTTCCTACAAAATTACTGTTCTTTGCTAAGATGAGATATAAACTCAAGTTCTAACCACCTGTTTCAGTTACTCATCAATAAATACTCCCATGCATAAGAAATGTTAATAAACTTATGTTTTTTGCTTGTTATCTGCCTTTTGTCGGTCTAATTTAAAGGGTCCTAGCCAATGAACCCAAAATGGATAGAGGAAAAAAGTTTTCCTCCCCTACATGCCTTAGAACACACCTGTGAGGTAAACTGTATCATTTTCCCTGTTTTCCAGAGGAGGAAAAAGAAGTTCAGAGAGATTAAATAAATTTCTCAAACTTACATGAGTAATAAGTGGTAGGGCCAGAGTGTGACTCAGAGTCTGAAGACTCCTAAACATCCTATCAGTATTTCTCAAAATGTAGTTCATGGCCCACCTACATCAGAATTACGTTAGATGTCTGTTCAAGTACACAGTTCTAAGGCCCACTGAATAACAATCATGATCATAGAACCAGTAACCTGCACTTTTAATACCCTCTCCAAATAATTCTAATGCTCAGTTAAAGACTGGTAACTACCAATATACCATCGTAGCCTTATATTTGATTAATTTTTAATTTTGGTGTATTCCTCTTACAAGACACAAGGATTGACAAAATTCAACTAAGATGCCAGCATTTAAAATGTTATAAATAACTGAAAAAATCTGAAGCATAGCATTTCTTCAGGCTTTTACCATACACTACTGACTTATTTCTATGGCCACCAGGGAAATCAATGGGCGCACTACAGGGGTAGATAAAATAATTAATTCAGATAGATAATTCCCTCCTATTTATAATAAGCTGATCCTCTATGTGCCTTAATGCTAACCAATTTTCTGTATTTAACATCATTTATCTAACCAAGGGTTTCAGAAGGAAGATCTTAGAACTAACTTTGCAAACTTCAGCAGTTACTTCAGCAGTGATTTTTAAATATCATAATTCATTTCCCCCTAAAAATATAGTATGTCTTTATATGAACACATACTATGAGACTGTTGAATTTTTTTTTTTTTTTTTTTAAGATTATATCCATTTAGGGCGCCTGGGTGGCTCAGTCGTTGGGCGTCTGCCTTCGGCTCGGGTCATGGTCCCAGGGTCCTGGGATCGAGTCCCGCATCGGGCTCTCTGCTCAGCGGGAAGCCTGCTTCTCCCTCTCCCACTCCCCCTGCTTGTGTTCCTGCTCTCGCTGTCTCTCTCTGTCAAATAAATAAATAAAATCTAAAAAAAAAAAAAAGATTATATCCATTTATATGAGGGACAGTGAGAAAGAATACAGCAGAGGGGGCAGGGGCAGGGAAAAGCAAGCTCCCTGCTGAACAGGAAGCCCTCGATTCTAGGAAGGACCCCGGGATCACCAGGACCTGGGATCACAATGTGAGCTGCAAAGGCAGTCACTTAACCGACTGAGCCACCCAGGCGCCCCGAGACTGTTGAACCTTATTCAAACATGATGTTGGCCTTTCTCCTTGGCATAAGTTTAGTGCTATAATCCTAAAAGAGCATGTACCTCTTGCTCACTCCTCGGGAAATCAAATGTTTAAATCAGTACTTAGGAAGTAGACTGTTAGTGGCTGAAAAATTTTCAATACTGTCCAGTCCAGTAACATGCATTTATTTAGTCCACTGTACTAAAAAGAACTCAAAGATGAATTGGACAAGAGCCTTGTCCTCCAGGGACCTGTAACTTCTGGGGAGAATCAAAGCCATTTCCAAATGCCTCTAAGGTAAGGCAAAAAGCATCTTAATTGCTTTAATTGAAGTGTAAAATGAGCAAGAATGCAAATGGAAAGTAATTCAAACTGAAGTAAAATGGAGAAAGCATGACAAAAAAGGGAGCATATGAATTGGGCTTTGAGGGCAAAGAAGTATTTCTTTGGTCTGCTCAAATCCAGTCTTAGCAAAGAATCCTGCCAAGTTGTCTGCCTACCCTGGATATCTGATCAAGTTCCTCATACCCCACCTTTGATGAATAAGTCCTTGGCTTGCCTTTAGCAAGAATTCCCCCTACCTTTGACATCTCTTCTTAGTAATTTTCCCTCCACTGACCACCTTGCCTCACTCCCCAGCTACAATTCCTCATTTGTCCTCGTTAGAGAGTTTTGACCAATCTCTCTCTCCTCTTGCAATTCACTACTGCAGAAGTCTTGGATTTGAGTCTTCCTTACCATTTTAACAAGTGTCAGAATCACTTTTTCTTTAACATAAGTCATTAAAAGAAAGTAGTCACACTTAGTCAATATTAACAGAAAAATAATTTACCATACAATCACAAATAAAAGCAAAAGTTCAGCAAAATATCCATAAGAATGACAATTTAAATATTAAAGTAAGTTAGAGCTTACAGTGAATATAAAAGATTCCCTAATTGTTTATGCAAAACAATTTTTTTTAAAGAGGCTTCCTATCAAAAATAAAGACAAGGGCACTGAAAAGTAGTAGAATCAAGTTCATTGCCGATTCATGCCAGAATTTATCAGAATTTCTGGTAAGAATGGAACGAAAATGGGCAGAAAAGTAGCTGCTGTATAATTAAGAGCCAGTCATAGTTCCATAAAGCAACAGATACAAATAGTATGTGACATCCAAGGTACTCTATTCAGTCAACAAATACTTATTTTTAAGGCTTGGCACAGAGGGAGAAAAAGGAAAGAATATAGACTCTGACTTAAGAGAGATGACATGTACACAGGCTCTACACTGGGCATAGAGCCTGCTTGGCATTCTCTCTCTCCCTCTCCCTCTGCCCCTCCCCCACCCACTCGCATGTTCTCTCTCTCTCTCTAAAAAAGAGAGACATGACATGTACACATAAATAGAATGCTATAAATAATTACAATAAAAGATGGAAAGTGGTAAGCTTATCCAAGAAGTGTACATAAAGGTGTTACGAGAGTTCAGAGGAATGAGAGATGATTTCTCACAGGAAGGCAAGAAAAGGTTTCATGGAAACAAAGGGGCATGTGATTTAAGTCTTCAAAGATGACCAGGATTTATAGGGAGAAGGAAAGGGAAAGGCATTCCAGGGTTAAGAAGTAGCATTAGCAAAAGCCCAGTGCAGGTACTTTTCTGTACCCACAGTGGTGGGTTCAATGCTATCCCTCAAAAATTCATGATCACCTGGAACCTCAGAATGTGACCTTATTTGGAAATAGGGTCTTTGTAGATGTAATGAATTCAGCATCCTGAATTTAGGCTGGGCCCTAAATCCAATAACTAGCATCCTTATAAGAAAAGGAGAGGACACAGAGAGATATAGAGAGGGCCACAGGGAGATGGAGGCAGAGAGTGGAGTTACACTGCCACAAGCAAAGCCTGGGGTCGCCAGAAGCTGGGAGAGGCAAGGAAGGATTCTTTCCTAGGGCCTTCAGAGGAAATGTGTTAACACCTTGATTTCAGTTTCCAGAACTGTGCTAATTTGTTACAGCAACTTTAGGAAACTAAACCTCTTGGTTAAGGACAATTAGTAGAGGGCTATTGTGAAATAGTATGAAATTGGTTTCTCTGCCCCTGGTTCCTAATATTTGGTCTTTGGCCAAACTCTTATAACTTCCTGAATGATAAGGGTTTCTGACAAAGAAGTCCTAAATCCCTTGTAATTTCCTGGGTGATAGCAGTCTTTTGTTCTAATGCTTGAGGTGATTCTTTTTTTTTTTTTTTTTAAGATTTTATTTATTTATTTGAGAGGGAGAGAATGAGAGATAGAGAGCACGAGAGGGAAGAGGGTCAGAGGGAGAAGCAGACTCCCTGCTGAGCAGGGAGCCCGATGCGGGACTCCAGGATCATGACCTGAGCCGAAGGCAGTCGCTTAACCAACTGAGCCACCCAGGCGCCCATGCTTGAGGTGATTCTTGTTGGGCTTCTGGATGGGGGCTGGTCACCAGAGAGACCAAGCCATAATTAGAAACTTGGAACTTTCAGCCCTACTCCCCATTTGCTAGAGACTGGAAATTCAGTTAATAATTGATCATACCTATATGTGATGAGGCCTCCATAAAAATCCCAAAAGTATGGGCTTTGGAGAGCTTCTGGTTGGATGAACATATCCACATGCCAGAAGGATTGGCGCATCCCAGCTCCTGTGCTTGGGACCCTTCCAGACTTGCCCTATGTATCTCTTCATCTGGCTTTTCATCTGTGTTTTAACATACGCTTTATTATATATTAAGTCAGTAAATATAAACTGTTTCCCTGAGTTTTATGAGCTCTTCTCCCAAATTATCAAACCCAAGGAGGGGGATCATCTAATTCAGAGCTGGTTGATCAGAAGCACTGGTGACAACCGGGATTTGTGATTGGCCTCTGATGTGGGCAGCAGATGGATAGTCTTATGGGACTGAGCCCTAAACCTGTGGTATCTGTGTTAACCCCCAGGTAGACAGTATGTGAGAAATGAACTGAACCATTTGGTATATAAAGAACATTGGGGAATTGCTTTGTGTGGGGAAAAACCCCACACATGTGAAGTACAAAAATATTTGGTGAGTAGAGAAAAAACAAGAGTTTTCCTTTTCAGCTATGTACCAAATGCTCCAGAGTATTTTTATTTTATTACACTTTGGAAGAAAAAAACCACTGACAATAAATTTCTCCTTAATAGCCATATTCTCGTATTACCAGGCAATTGTATTAAAAAGTGAATAGAAAACAATGAAATGCCATTACTTACAATGTGTGACTCCAGCTAGAGTTTGGTAGAAAGTGGGAGTATCACTATCATCAGTGAGGGTCACATAAACACCTCCAGATAGTAGCCAACGAGAGAAGGTAAAAGCATCTTTGTTTAGAAGAAGCCAATTTCTAAACTTTTCATAGTTTACCTTTTCACCCTAAAATTAAAAGGAAAAAAAAAAAACGATAGGTTTAGTCAAATTTTAAGGTATCTTACTTAGAACTTGCACAACCTGAAATCTGCGATTTGTTGACATTTACCTTTGGCTGACATTTAGGATTATCTAAATAACACTACAGGCTGTACACTTGGAAATCAAACTGCTTTCAAAAATAACTGTATTTAAGAACTTCCATTTCCATAAAATCTATATGCTAGTTGTAAATTATTTCATCAATTAATTAAAGCAGTGCATTGTTACTAATAAGCCAAATTTTATTTACTAAGGTATATCCTGAAATCAGTAACTGCATTTTTTTCTATATTTAAGAAGGCCAATCTTTTACTAATCTGTCATAATTAGCATATTTTAATTAAATATGTGTGGTATTAAAATACTCTTCTAAATTTCATGGGCAAATTAAAAATAACTACCCTAGGGCCCTCTTCCAGAAGGCATCACTGAATACATGTATTCATAAGTCAACTAGAATACAAAAAGAAACAAGTACATTTCTATTTCTTTGCTTTCTTGTCAAATATTTTGTTTTCTAAATCTCTGGATAAAAAAAGTATCTGAGCAGAGAAAGAACATCACTTAGCTGTGCAAGTCAATTTCTTTGTCTGGAAGACAAGAGGACCTAGGGTGAATGAGGGCCAGATGTTTCTATGAAAAAAAGAAGCAACCCACTTGGAAATACAATGAAGAAAGACATTCAGGAGCCTATCAGGTCTAATCCTGATAGAAATATTAAGGAATACAAATAACTCATAACCTAAAAGAGATATATGGTAGAAATAATTTCTACATTGTTTGGCAGCATCCTATTAAGTACAGCAATATACTTAGCCTAGTAGTTTCAGAAGACTTAACAGTATAATCCAAAACCTCAAAACAACATTGACAGTCTTGTTTTTCTGAATGGAAGAATGTGGCATTCAGAGTTGCTGCAGGGACATGTGAGGACATTGCCAGCATGTGTAGAAATTAGGGATCATACCCATATTCTTTCTCTGTTTCCCACATTTAGTCTAGAAAGACGATTAGCTGTATATATCTCACAAGCTCACACACATTTTTACACATGTTAACATCTCTAACATTGGGATGAATTTTAATATCAATAGCATCCTTCAATTATAACCGGCAGGTTTTTTCTTTTTTTGTAATACATACAGGTACATCTTACAATTGATGGGATCTTAGATACAGCGAAACATGTAGCATCATTGGTTTCAGAGAAGCTAAGATGTTGTTGCTATAAAATGCACCCTCATGTACTAAGAAAGAGAGAAGCTGCCAGTTAAAATAGACACTTCTACCACCTTCCCATATAGTTAATATTATTTACAATTCCCTAAGCACTGTTCTAAAAAAATTTTTTTAAGATTTTCTTTTTAAGTAATCTCTATACCCAACATGGGGCTCAAACTCACAATCCTGAGGTCAAGAGTCACAAGCTCCCCCCAAATGAGGCAGCCAGGCACCCCTAAACATTTTTATATTAATTTAATCTTCAAAGTAACCCTCTGTAGGAGATACTATTATCATCTCTATTTCACCCAAGAGAAAATTGAGGCATTAAAAAGTTAAATAATCTAAGGTTATACATTGACAGGGATATGACTGAACCCAGGTAGTCCAAATCTTCTAAGCCTAAGCTATACACCACACTTGTTGGCTGACTCAGTGAAATATAAAGTAGGCGCTGAAATCTATCTGTCCATTCAGATCACTGCAATACTGGTAACACCAAAATTCCATCTGTTAAACCTGACTTTTTATGTTTATGAGTCATGGACATCTTCTAAAAAGGGCAGCAAACAGAAAATTACCTTTTATAAATTGTCACAATAGCAGTTTAGAAAAAAAATTCCAGAAACATGGAGCAATTAAAAATGAACAGGCTCCTGAAACTGATACATCTTTAAAGAACAATACAAAATATGAATTTCTACCTTAAAAATTGACAACCAAAGAAAATATTCAGTAAGAAAAGAATAATACAACTCCTATGTGGATTCCTTTAAAACTTCATCAAGGCTAATAAAAGTACAAGATAGAAAAAGCTGAAACCCATTCCATGTCACTAAATCTAGGTGCTAGGTCCACATCTTTTAGCTAAAGTGCTTCTCTTTATAGTTTTGGGGGGTTTTTTTGGATTGCCCCAAAACAACACAAAGCACTGTTATGGGAGGTCTAAATAAGTCCATTCTAATACAAGTAGATTCATACTGAAACATGGTTAACTTGAAAAGCAAGGGTTTGGACATAATCAGACACATTACTCAGAAATTACAGCAGGTAAATACATCAAGTAGTTGAATCAGATAAAAAATTAGCCCATTTACAGGGTTGGTTTTTTACCAACCACAAGCATCTAGTGATTTAAATAGCTTCTTCATGAGTATTCCAAAACCAGGGCCTCTCATTTCTTTGATCTCTCCTCTTCCAAAGATCTTGTCCTTCATACAACACTTAACCGCAACCTTACTAACAGCCTTATGATCTTTTCATTATAATAACGGTTCCCTTTCCATTAAATGCAATTTTAACATTCCACTTTCCCCCTTACAATTTCCTCTTATGAGCAAACTTCTTTTAGTATCCTAACTCCAGTGATTTTTTTTTTTTTAACTCCACAGGACCTACACCAATGACCTTCTTCTACATTGCCAAATCTAATAATCACTTCTCAATGATCAAAGGTCAACCCACTTGACCTTTCAGTTTATTTGATTGCAAGTACTCCTTTCTTTTAAAACACTTTCATCACTTGGCTTCCAGGACACCATTCTCTTCTGGTTCTCCTTATGGGTTATTCCTTAGGTTACTGTTTTGATTCTTCTTCATCTCATTAATCTCTAAACATTGGAATACAGGACTCAGTCTTCCAATCTGTTTTCTATCTAAATTCACTCTAAGATGATCTCATCCTCAACTATAAGCCAACAAATCCTATCCCATGAACTCTAAATCATATATCAAAAAGCATAGTTGACATCTCCACTTTAATGTCTAAAATGATTCTCAAATTTAATTATGTCCTAAATCTCCCTTGATATCAAAACCCCAAACTTGAACCTCTAATAGTCTTAGCCATCGTAATTAAAGGAAACTTCATTCACTTACTAAATCAAGCCAAACACCTTAATCATCCTCTTCTCTCTCTGCCATACCCCATAATCAATACAAGAAAAATTCCTGTCAATTCTCTCTTCAAAATAAATGCAGAATCTGAAAACTTATCATCTCACTGTTATACCATGATCTACATGACTATCACCTCTTACCTGGATTATTAACAGATAACTCAGTTGGACTCTGTTTAGTCTACCCTCTACAGAAGAGCCAAACTGATCATGTTAAAAAAAAAAACCTTATGTTGGGGCACCTGGGTGGCTCAGTCAGTTAAGTGTCTGACTCTTGGTTTTGGCACAGGTCACGATCTTGGGGTCATGAGATTGAGCCGGGTGGACTCTGCATTCAGCAGAGGCTGAGATTCTCTTTCTCCCTCTCCCACTGCCCCTCCCCTCCATGCTCTCGCTCTCAAATAATCTTAAAAACAAACAAACAAAACAAAAAAACGCTCATCTATTCATTCCTCTGCCCAAAACGTTCCAATGTTTTACCTCACTTGATAAAAGTCAAAGAACTCACACTGTCCTCCAAAGTCATATATAATCTCCCCCACTTTATCCCACCCTCTTCCCCAACCTCTGTAACTTCATTTCCTACCACTCTCTTACTCTATTCCAGGTTACTTGTTGCTTTGACATGTCAAGCAGGGCCTTCGCTGTATTCTCTTCTTGAAAAATGCTTTCCCCTAGATATCTGCATGGTTATAGCTCTCTTCCTTTAAATTCTTATTTCAAATGTCACTTTATCTGACAAGCCTTTCCTAATTATCCTACACAAAATTATCTACACAGTCACATCCTCCCTATCACTAACTATCCCCCTTATTTTACTTAAATTTTCCCCTATAGCACTAATTATCATCTAATACATGTACCTGCTATTGTGCATAAACTTTAGAGAGCTTCAGAGAACTGGGTTTAGAGAAACTAGAAACATTTAATTCCCATCTATAAAATGGGAATGTGTGCATAAAACGCATTAAAATAAGAAAAATATACATTCTCCCCCAAAATGTGCAGAGTATTAATGCATTTGACATCTCTGTGAAAAATCCAATTAAGCAGGCCTGCAAAGATTAGATGACTTTTTTTGACCAGACAATATTTGTTACTGGAGAGAAAAACCATAGCTTAGTTTGTCTTGAAGTACTGAAATACCATCACAGCAACTTCCAGTCAATATGTCAATGCAGGAAGCCAATCCTTTTATACCAAACACAGAGAAATGCTGGGTAAATTGTAACACCATAACCACTACCAAAATACAGGCATACAGGCAAGCTCAAAGCAAGAAAGGGAAATCCCCAGGTGCTACCAACACAGAAGAAACTCAGACAGAATAGTGAAAAGCTAGAGGGTCCAAAGAGACGTTAGAACCAAATATATGCATATGGCTGGAGTATAGACAATCAGTCCCTATACAGTTAGGAAGGTGATTAAACTAAACTGAATAAAACTATGAGCAGTGGGACTGTCATATCTGTGAAATGCAAGTAGGTAAAACAGCCACCTGTAAGAAATCATGCAGCATTGAGTTCACTGCAGGAAAGGATCAGAAAATTCTAAAAGGGTTTTTACTCTACCATCTCTAGGGACTTTTCCCATATTAGCAGACCTAGGAAAAGGAAGGAAAAAAAAGAGTTTTCTCTGTTAAAGATATGCATTTTTTATTGTTTAAGTCTTCTACAATGAAAATGTATTATTTATGAAAACAGGAAAAAATGACAGATTTTTCAGACCTAAATATTTCACTATGCAATCAGCTAAGTTAAATAAATGATAAAATAAGCCTTGACGGGTCCCACAGTCACAGAATGACTCAAGGCCATTTATACAATGAAAGGCAACGAAACTACAATGTGAGCTATGCTCAGCTTCCTGCAGGATCACCAGTGTGTGTTGGTGTAAGAATGTGAGAATGTGTTTCATTATACCATAAGTATAGACACTTGCCTTTTAAGTAGAATTGGGAATTTTCAGATTCACAAATATAGCAGTAATAAGTGTCATGGACCTTTGAGCACAGCTGAAACATCAACCATTAAAAACAAAAATGTCAAGAATATGCTGCACGTAAACATCTAAGAGTTAATACTTTGTAGCAGGTAGGGATGAAATGTAAATCTTTAAATATACCTCTGAGAAACACTTCCTGAGTGTATCTGGGACTTTACCATCCACCACATGGAGCATTCTTTCCATTTCTTCCCGTACAACATAACTCCCAGATTCACTTGCAAAAAGACTAAAAATGTCTAGGAGAAAGAAAGAATAAATTAAACTTACCATAGATTAAATATACCTTGGTAGAAGTAGGGAAGGAAGTGAGAGGTAAATATTACTGAGTGATTACTAGTGCCAAGCACTTTATAAATATATAATTTAATTTATTCCAAAAAAAAAAAGAAAGAAAGAAAGAAAATGAAAACCAGCAATACAAATTAAAACAGCAATGGGATAGCTTTTCAAACACACCAAATTTGCAAAAATGTTTAGGTGTGACAACACAAAGTGTCAGCAATAAATTGGGAGAAACAGAAACTTTTATACACTGTTAATAAGAGTATGAATTATTGGGTTGCCTGGGTGGTTCAGTTGGTTAAGTGGCTGCCTTTGGCTCAGGTCATGATCCTGGTGTTCTGGGATCGAGTCCCACATCGGGCTCCTTGCTCAGCGGGGAGCCTGCTTCTCCCTCTGCCTGCAGCTTCCCCCACTTGTACTTGCTCTCTCTCTTCTCTGACAAATAAATAAATAAAATCTTAAAAAAAAAAAAGTATGAATTATTGCAACCATTTTGGAGAGGAACTTGGCCAAATCTAGCAAAGGTGATATATGCTAGAAATTCAGATTCTAAGCAACTCAACTTCCACCCTTGAGAAACTTTCATCCATATGCATGAGATACAACAATGTTCACTGGAGTATTATTAGTATTAGCAAAACTTAGGGAAAAAAAGATAAATGTCTATCAATAAGAAAATAGGTAAACTGAGATATACACACACAATGAATGCTATATAGCAGTCAGAATAAAGGAACTAAGTGTTTCAAGATGGATAAGTATCAAAAATATTCAGGGAAAAAGCAAATTGCAAAATAATCTGTACCATATGCCATTTACTTAAAAAGTTTAAAATCTGCAAAAGAGGTGAAGATATGTTAAAGGGTATATAAAAAGTCATAAATGTATAAAGACCTACATGAGGGGCGCCTGGGTGGCTCAGTCGTTAAGCGTCTGCCTTCGGCTCAGGTCATGATCCCAGGGTCCCGGGATCAAGCCCTGCATCGGGCTCCCTGCTCTGCGGGAAGCCTGCTTCTCCCTCCCCCACTCCCTCTACTTGCGTTCCCTCTCTCGCTGTGTCTCTCTCTGTCAAATAAATAAATAAAATCTTTAAAAAAAAAGATTCTCAGGCGCCTGGGTGGCTCAGTCGGTTGAGCGACTGCCTTCGGCTCAGGTCACGATCCTGGAGTCCCAGGATCGAGTCCCGCATCGGGCTCCCTGCTCAGCGGGAAGTCTGCTTCTCCCTCTGACCCTCTTCCCTCTCGTGCTATCTCTCATTCTCTCTCTCTCTCAAATAAATGAATAAAATCTTTAAAAAATAAATAAATAAATAGATAAATAAATAAATACAGACAGACCTACATGAGGAACGAAAGATCACTATATCCATGAGAGTGGGTACCTCTGTGAAGGAAGAATGGGGACAGAACCATGAAGAGATACAGAGAGAGAGAGCACCACACCTTGGCTGTATTATTTTATTTCCTAAAAAAATAAGATCCGGGACAAATATGATATAATGTTAAGAAGTAATAAAGCTGGGTGGATGTACATATTATATGTATGTTTGAAATATTGCTGTTATGGATTGAACTGCATCTCCCAGAAAGATATGTTGAAACCCAACCTCCAGGTACTTGTGAATGGGACCTTATTTGGAAAGATAGAAGACAGAAAAGTAGAAGAGACATTCCATCCCTCTGAAGGCATTATTCTCTCAGAGGGAGCAGGGCCCTGCCAACATCTTCAATTTGGACTTCTACAAATTTACAGAACTGTAAGACAGTTAAGTTTCTGTTGTTTTAAGCCATTTATGAAAGTATGCAGTACTTTGTTAGGGCAGCCCTAGAAAACTAATACAACGGTATAATAAAAATAAAGAGGGGCACCTGGGTGTGGGTCAGTCAGTTAAGTGTCTGCCTTCAGCTCAGGGCATGATCCTGGGGTCCTTGGGATCAAGCCCCACATTGGGCTCTCTACTCAAAGGGAAGCCTGCTTCTCCTTCTCCCTCTCCCCCCTGCTTCTGTGCTCTTTTTCTCTCTCTAAGAAATAAATAAAATCTTAAAAAAAAAAACACATTTAAATATATGTTTATGTTTGTGAGCCTCCCAAAAATGTTATTTTTAATTACTGGCTGCCTGGAGCCACACTATTTGTTGGTAGAGGGATGCTAATTTGAAAAACCAGGATCACAGTGAAATTCCAATTGGGTTTAAGGATACATTCAATATCTTAACTGTGATAATGTGGGTACATATATGTGTCGAAACATATCAAAATCTGTACTTTTTATATGTGCATTTTAAGTCAATTACACCTCAATAAAACTATAAAAAAGGAAAAAGATTAAAAAGAACAGTCTAAATTCAGGGGTAAGAGAGAAGATTGAGAGATTTAGGGGAAGCAGTCAGAAGGCAGGTTAGAAAAGGAAGAAGGAAGAGAGAAAGACCCAACATCCAGTGGCCAAGGATAAAAACCTAGGAATTTTTGGAGCAAAGTGTTATATATATCCTATGTAACAGAAACACTTGCCTTTACTTCCCCTGGGAAATTTTCCTTTTTTTTTTTCTTTTTTAAGGATTTTATTTATGTATTTGAAAGAGAGAGTGAGCAAAAGAGGAGAGAGCACAAGCCCGGGGAAGGGCAGAGGGAGAAGCAGGCTCCCTGCTGAGCAGGGAGTCCGATGCAGGACTCGATCCCAGAACCCTGTGATCATAACCTGAACTGAAAGCAGAAGCTTAACTCACTGAGCCACTCAGGCGCCCCTCCCCTGGGAAATTTTCAATAAAACTTTCATCCCAAAAAGAAACCCACCTTTATTAGCAGCTGTTCTCCATTTTTCCTCTCTTCCACCAGCCTCTGGCAATCACTAATCTACTGTGCCTAAGGATTTGCTTAATCCAGACATTTCATATAAATGGAATTACATACTACGTGGCCTACTTTGGCATTTATGACTTCAATAATATTTTCAGGTTCACATGTTAACAGCATTTATTTGTACTTTATTCCTTTTTATTGTCAAGCAGTAATTTATTATATGGACATACACATTTTGTTTATGTTGAATGCATAAGTTGATGGACACTAGGTTTGTTTGCATCTTGTGACTATTATGCACAGTGCTTCTGTGAATACTCATGCATATTTTTTTAATGAATACATGTTTTCAATTTTCCGGGATATATACATAGGAGTGGAATTGCCAGGTCATATGATAACTCAATGTTTAACAATTTGAAGAACTACCTAACAGTTTTCCAAAAGTGACAGTACTATTTTACACTCCCAGCAACAATGTATAAGGGTTGCAACTTTTCCATCCTCACCAATCCTAATCTGTCTTTTTTATTTCAGCCATCCTGGTAGATATGCCATGGTATCTCACTCTAATTTTAATGCATATTTCCCTAATACCTGATCATGTTGAGCATTTTTTCAAGTGCTTATTGGCCACTTATATATTTTCTTTGGAGAAATATTAACTCAAATGCTTTGACTGTCATCAAGAATTTTCAGGTAAGGAGCGCCTGCGTGGCTCAGTCGTTAGGCGTCTGCTTTCGGCTCAGGTCATGATCCCAGGGTCCTGGGATTGAGCCCCGCATCGGGCTCCCTGCTCCGCGGGAAGCCTGCTTCTCCCTTTCCCACTCCCCCTGCTTGTGTTCCCTCTCTTGCTGTCTCTCTGTCAAATAAATAAAATCTTCAAAAAAAAAAAAAGAATTTTCAGGTAAATTATTCTGCACAGAAATGTAGTATCATCATTTTGAGATAATAAAAGTACTTACATTTTGCTTTCTCTTCATCTCTGCCTCTTGTAAGAAGGACAAGTCCAACTATTAAGTTATTGAAGTGCAGTCCTTTGGATGTTCCACCAAAAGAACAGTAAATCACCTAGGAGAAAATGATAAAAACAACGTTAGATGTTTTAGTTGTTGAGGAATTTGAGGCTGGTATCACCTTTACCAAATCTTGTCTCCATCTCCAAATAAGGCTTTGGTAAACTTTAGTGAAATGATGTTAAGTTTCTCCCTCTTCTTCCTCTTACACATCTTGTTATTGCACTCAGCCAAAAATACACTGTATCTATTCTAAAGTACATATATCACTGGCTCACACACTGAATATTCTTTCTCTTTGGAGTCCTTATCAAGGCCAAAGAAGATAAAGGTCCTCCCCTTCAAAAGCCCCAATAATGTGATAAGAATTTTGTGTAATTACAGAATTTCCTTCAACCTCTGTAAAACTTAGACACATTTTGATTTGAAAGATGGACATTCTCTTAAGTGAAAGTTCAGAAATGGAATGGCAATCATATTACAATATATAAATGTATCAAATTAACATGTATGCCTCAAATTTACAATGTTATTTGTTCAATTTTTAAAAAGTAAAATATATAGAGACCACAAAAGACACTTTTTACACTCTTAGAAATGAGTATTACAGTGATCAAAAATAAAGAAAAAAAGCTATGCATAAGAAAGGGACAGCAACAATCACATAAATTCATTGGACAATTTTGTGATATTGTGTTATAAGAAGAAATACATATTTGGTCTTCTTCCAGGTTCCTGATACAAGAGCTTCTAAAAATCCTTCCTTACTGATGTAGGTGAAAGGAGCATCTTTTGTTATTCATCTATAAGCCCCTTTCATTCATATGCTAATGAGGTGACTTCTGGTGGGCCTTTACAAAGCTCAGAATGTAAGCCTACCAATCAGAGGAAAAGATGTGATTAGAGGACTGAAATATTCAGCATCTCTCCACAGTCTCCAGGAAGGGGAAAGGGGCCTGAAACTGAGTTAATCACCAATAGCCAATCAATAGCCAATTATTTAACCAACCATGCCTACGTAATGGAACTTCCATTAAAAACCCTTAAACCATGGGGTTTGGAGAGCTTCCAGGTTGGTGAATACATCAAGGTGCTAGAAGGGTGGAGCACCCAGAGATGGCATGGAAGTTCTGCATACCGTCTCCCTCCTTGCCCATCCAGATCCCTTGCTGCCGCCACCGTCAGCCTCTCTTCCTATTTGGCTGTTACTGAGTTGTAGTCTTTAAAATAAACTGGTAGGGCGCCTGGGTGGCTCAGTCGTTAAGCGTCTGCCTTCGGTTCAGGTCATGATCCCAGGGTCCTGGGATCGAGTCCCACATCGGGCTCCCTGCTCAGCGGGAAGCCTGCTTCTCCCTCTCCCACTCCCCCTGCTTCTGTTCCTGCTCTCACTGTCTCTCTCTGTCAAATAAATAAATAAAATCTTTAAAAAAAAATAAAAAATAAAAATAAAAAACTGGTAATAGTAATTAAAGTGTCTTCCTGAGTTCTGTGAGCCATTCTAACAAATTATCAAACCCCTAGAGGGGTCACAGGAACCCTAGATTTACAGCCAATTGGTCAGAAGTACCAGAGGTCCAGGACCAGACCTGTGAGGTATGCACTAATTCCAGGTACTTAGTATCAGAATTGAATTGAACTGTAGGACATCCAAGTGGTGTCCAGAGAGTTGAAAAACTGACTGATAAAGGGAAAAAACCCACACAACTGGTGTCAGAAGCGCCATGTTCTTTAAAACAAACTGACCTAGTATTTGCAATGCAGAATTTTTGTCAATAAAATTCATGATTAAAGAATAGTTCAAACCCAAAGGAATCTATAGATTCAATGCAACTTCTACTAAAATACCAACATCATTTTTCAAAGAACTACAACAAACAATATTAAAATTTGCATGGAACCACAAAAGACCCCCCCCTCCAATAGTCAAAGCAGTCTTGAGAAAGAACAACAAAGCTGGAACTCCCAGATTTCAAGATTTACTACAAAGTTATAGTAATCAATACAGCATAATATTGTCATAAAAACAGACATAGAAATCAATGGAACAGAATAAACAGCCCAGAAATAAACACATACTTATATGGTCAATTAATCTATGACAAAAGAGGCAAGAATATACAATGAGAAAATGAAAAGTCTCTTCAATAAATGGTGCTGGGAAAACTGGACAGGTCTGGGAAACTAGACTACCTGTTTATACAAAACACAAAAATAAAATAAAAATGGAATCAAGATTTATATGTGAGATATCAAACCGTAAAACTCCCAGAAGAAAACATAGGCAGTAATTTCTTTGACATCAGCTGTTGTTAACATTTTTCTAGGTAAAATGGAAACAAAAGCAAAAATAAAACTATTGGGACTACACCAAAATAAAAATATTTTGCATACTGATGGAAACCATCAACAAAATGAAAAGGCAATCTACTGAATGAGAAAACATATTCGAAAAATAATATATCTGATAAGGGGTTAATATCTAAAATATATATAAGAACTTACACAATTCAACACCAAAAAAACAAATAATCTGATTTTAAAATGGACATGGGGCACCTGGGTGGCTCAATCAGTTAAGCACCTGATTCTTGATCTCAGCTCAGGTCTTGATCTCAGGGTTGTGAGTTCAAGCCCCACAGGTTGGGCTCTGTGCTAGGCATGGAGCTACTTAAAAAAAAAAAGGGCAGAGGATCTGAATAGGCATTTTTTCCAAAGTAAACATACACATAGCCAACAGACACATGAAAAGATGCTCGATATCAGTAATCATCAGGGAAGTGCAAATCAAAACCACAATGAGGTATCACCTTACACTTATCAGAACGGCTAGAATCAAAAACACAAAAAATAACAAGTGTTGGTGAGGATTGGAGAAAAAGGGAGCCCTTGTACACTGTTGGTGGGATTATAAATTGTGCAGCCCCTGTAGAAAAGGGTACAGAGGTTCCTCAAAATATCAAAAATAGAAATACCATATGGTCCAGTAATTCCACTACTGGCTATTTACCCAAAGAAAATGAAAACGCTAATTTGAAAAGATATATGCACCTCTATGCTTATTGCAGTATTATTTATAATGGCCAAGATATGAAAGTAACTCAAGTGTCCACTGATAGATGAATGGATAAAGAAGATGTGGTGTGTGTACATGTGTATGTACACACACACACACACACACACACACACACACACAGGAATATTACTCAGCCATACAAAAGGGATGAGATCTTGACAACTGCAACAACACGGATGGACCCATAAGTTATTATGCCAAGTGAGATAAGTCAGACAGAGAAAGACAATGATTTCACTTATATGTGGAATCTAAAAAGCAAAACAAATGAATAAACAAACAAAAAGAAGAAACAGACCCAAAGATACAGAAAAACTGATGGCTGCCAGAGGGGCAGGGGAGGATAGGCAAATGGGTGAAGGGGAGTGGGAGATACAGGCTTCCAGTTATAGAATTAATAAGTCACATGGATAAAAGGTACAGCATAGGGAATATAGTCAATTGTACTATAATAGTATTGTATGGTGACTGATGGTAGCTACACTTGTGCTGAGCATAGCATGATGAATAGAGAAGTTAAATCACTATGTTGTACACCTGAAACTAATTTAACATTGTATATCAATTATACTTCAATAAAAAAAGAATTAAAGAAATAAAACCTAGAATCAATATGAAAAATGAAAATATATTAAGTGATATTTATAATTATATTTAATAACACACTTGATGCCAAAAACTTTGTATCTCTGGTGCCATTGATAGAAAAGTCTAGCAAAAACAAACCTAGGGAGATGGCTTCAGATTAGAATATAAAAAAAAATTTTTTTTAAATCTTAATATACTTTATGGAGTAACTATTTTTAGTTGGTCCCTGCATAAACTGAAAGAAGGTAACAGAAAAAACCCTCTATCCCTGAGGCAGGGGTAGAAAACATCATAGCCCTAGATCTTTAGAGATCCCCTACCCCTGGGAGAGAGGTGGAACCACTGAGAAAGTCTCTGGGGATACACTGCCTGCCTAAAACTGAAACAGAAAAATGGAAAACAGACTGTCCCCTGCCCTAGCACCCACACCCATTACCACCATTGTGTTAGCAAACACTGAGGTAATAAATAACATCAGTCTACTGCTGGGAAGGGAAGAGTAGGGAGAGAGACACTCTCTAAGGTACTGTAACAACTAAGAAAGTGAGATCCAAAGTTGAAGGTAGGACAGACATTAGAAAAATCCTCTGGTGGGGCACCTGGGTGGCTCAGTCAGTTAAGCGTCCAACTCTTGATTTCAGCTTGGGTCATGATCTCAGGCTCCTGAGATCGAGCCCTGTGTCAGGCTCAGCTCTCAGCAGGGAGTCTGCTTGAGATTCTCTCCCTCTGTGTGTGCTTTCTCTCTCAAAAAATAAATAAATCTTAGGGGCGCCTGGGTGGCGCAGTTGGTTAAGTGACTGCCTTCAGCTCAGGTCATAATCCCAGAGTCCCGGGATCAAGTCCCACGACCCTGCTCAGCGGGGAGTCTGCTTCTCCCTCTGCCCTTCACCCTGCTTGTATTCTTTCTTGCTCACTCTCTCTCTCAAATAAATAAAATATTTAAAAAAAATAAAAATAAAAAAGGTAACCCTAGACTGGAATTTGAAGTCTGTAGTGCACTGTGGGTAAGCATAGCAATACAAAATACAGCTCAACCACAGACAAGACGGACTCAGCTACTCATGCTAAAGATCTAGGCAGGCATAAATACTATTTCCCTCAGTCTGTACTGTCCGGTATATAAAACATCCATCTTTCAACCACAAATTATAAGTTACACAAGGAAGGAAAGGAAAAAACCACCCTGACAAAGGAAAAACGGGAACAGAGAGTTAATAAAAGCTTTGGAATGGCTCAACAGTAAACTCCAGAGAGTCAAGTAAGAGACTGTCCAAAATGAAACAGGGGAAAAAATGTGTGGGTAGGAAGGAACAAAACAGAAGATCCAAGAGCTGTGGTACAATCAACTGATTTAACACACATGCAGTTGAAATCTTAGAAGTAAAAGAGAATGG